ACAAACTTTCAGATAAACCCTTATGTTGTCTATTGTACTATTTATCCACTGATATGACTAATTACCAGTGAAGGTTTTCACCCTAATATGGATATTTCCTACAAAACATGGCCATGTGTGCCTCGAGATCTGTGGATGAGAGACAGAGTATGAGACAGAAAGTTTTCTCCTAATGAGCAAGCCTGAGGGTTCTCAAACTTTTACTCTTCTATATTCCCTCTGATCAGGGCTGATCAGAGCACAACACATGTAGCCACAAAGCTAAGAGAGGGTGAAGGGGAAACGGCTGGAGCCAAGCTCATTTCACTTCATCTGAGTAAGGAAATAATGATCCTAAACTTCACTGTGATTAGGATTTGTCTTGCTGTATCCTTGACATTGTAAAGTCATGGACTAATATTGTCAAGAATCCAATCTGCTACTGAATGATTTGACTCATTGTATAAACACCATGAATCAGTAAATGGACTGTACTTATATGGACTGCACTTACTGTATATAGTGCTTTTCTACCTTATCAAGATACTCAAAGTGCTTTACACTACAATCTTTGCCCTCATTTACCCATTCATACAGCGCTCTATCTATACATATTCAGTGCTTTATCACATTCATATACCGATGGGACACATGCTGTGGACAAAAACCAAGGAGATTCCCAGAACAGACCAAGGTGTAGTTCATCAGATTTATTTGCAAAGTTTTGGAGAGCAGTTCAACAATGCACAGAACATGCAATTACAAGGTTACACTGTTATCACTGCTCTCATCCATTTGAAACCCTGACCTGCTCTAACTCTCTGGACTGGACAAATTAGTTTTATAGAGTAATCTTCTAGCACAGGCCTCAGTTCCTCCCCTCCATGTTCCGAGCCGTCATCGAAAGGTCCGCTTGCAGACAGGAAGGAGTGGATATGAGTCAAGGACTCTGCCTGAGACACGTCACCACATCATATCAACTCTATGATACCAATATCAAACCAATCAACCCTTGAGGATATCAAAACATCCAGTTCTTTCTGTTCCTCACTGACTGGTCACAGTAAAAATTATTACATGGGACCATTTATCATTCACAATCACAGTCTGTAAATAGGACACAGTATAATGTCTATATCTCCTTCTTAAGTAGAAACAGATGATGCATGATGAATGCATGAAAATACACATTTGGCTCAACACACACATAGGAGGCAATAAGGGGTTCGATGTCTTGACCAGGGACACTTCGGCCTGTGACTTCTGGTGGAATCAAACCCCCAACTCTTGCAGTGGAGGACGACTACTCTAACCACTCAGCCACAGCCACCCATCAGTGCAAAACAGGGCACTTTTATCACCAGCCACCAAAGACGAAAGAGCTAGAATGCTTTTGTCTGTGTGGGTATATGTGTGTGTGTGTTTTATCTGACACTGTCACTGGACTTTAATAAAACTTTTAGAAAGTAATCACAGAGTGTACATCTACTGTACAACTGTTGAAATCAGCCTAATTCAACATGGCTGCCACATCTAATGCACATTATTCAAATTGAAAATGTCTATAACTAAGTCATAAGCTAATATTTGGTGTTGCAGCAGCTGAAGTTTGTTAACATACAGAGCTAACAAATCTAGCAAAATTTTGCACTTGATTGAAGATAGTGTCATTTACAAGTTTTGATGGAAATGTCCTCCTCTCGCAGAGTGATGACTGGATATGGGTGCCAGTGACCCCCACCCAGAAAGGAAGAAGTGGGTAAAGATAATGAATGGGATGGTTGGATGGAATATAAATACTAACCTTGGCTAATAATAGCTAATCTTCACTGAACACACTGAAAATGTTAAGATGCAAAAACATAAACTTTTACACACAAACTAGTGCCTGAACAAACTACATCTAAACAAGATGGTAAAAACCTTACTCTAACACAGTAATAAGCTACACACAGCATAAACCATGGAAATGAATGCATAATGCCCTCTCATTACAACACATGCACAGGCACACACAAAGACACCTGTCAGGTTACATGGAGGAGACAGAAGGTAATAGATGGTGTCTGTTTGTCAGGTCTTTTCTCTAACATTAGTCTAATGAGGTGACACACTGCCCTGACTCACACAACCAGTTCAGCGAGGTCAAAGACAAGTTCATGAATTACTCACCCGCAGCCATAAATAACCACAAGCTATCAGGGCAAAACCTCAAGGAGGCTGTTCAATGGTAATTATTTCACCACAGCACCAAGGGGAAGCTCTTCTGTTTGATGTGACCTTTACTGTATTAAGATGGATTTATGTTTATTGCCCAAAGCTTGATGAAAGTTGTTTATTATACATATTTCAGTTTTAAATAATAGGGTAGTTCTGGAAGAAGAACAAAAAAAAAACAGTTTTAACCTTAAGCATATTTAATGGTTGTTTCGTTTTTTCCACAAACGTGCGGCACGATGGCTCAGATGTTAGAGCCATTACCTCTCAGCGAGGTCGCCAGATTGAATCCCGGCCTTGGGCATTGCTGGGTGGAGTTTGCATGTTCTCTCTGTGCATGAGTGGGTTTTCTCCAGGTACTCCAGTTTCCTCCCACATACAGTACCAAACACATGTATGTTAGGCTGATTGGTAACTAAATTGTCCCTAGGTGTGAATGAGAGAGTGAATGGTTGTTTGTCTCTATGTGTCCTTGTGATGGACTGGAAACCTGTCCAGGGTGTCCCCCACCTCTCACAGTGACAGCTGGATATGGGCACCAGTGAACCCCATGACCGAAAAGGAAGAAGCGGGTAAAGATAATGGATGGATGTTTTCGCAAACTGATGTTTAAATTAGTCAGAGCACACGCTGTTTCATCCACTCAGGAGTTACAAAACTAAAAGACGGAGACAGAACATAAAGACAATAACAACTTTCTCCTGTGAGGGGCGTGCAGTTTTACTCCAATCTGCATGTGAATCTAGGTTACACTTAGGAGGACACAAATCCCACTGTATCTTTTGAAATGAGGTCTAATTATAGAAAAGTGAAACCCCTGTGGGTGTTTTTAATTTCATAGCTGGGGAAAAAAACACTTGCTGAAAGAACTTTTTATTTTTTATTTTGTCCATCAGGGTACAAAACTGATTCTGAACTGTGATTATGAGCAGAAAATCAGGTTGTTACATGAGATGTGAAAGTGAAGGGCAAAAGTTAGCAGCTCAGAGTTTATCTTAAATTATTGACATGCATAAAAACATAAAGCCACACTTTGTGCAACAGTCACAAAGTTTTGCTGAGATTCATAAAAAAACGTGTTAAATATTATCCTATGTTGTTTAGGGCACCATGGCATTTGCTACCATTAAATCTAAATAACTTACTTATCGCTATAGATTTTACAACATTGATGCTGTCTTAGAAATATCATAATTGCCTTTAGGTAAGGAATAAAAGTAAAAGGCCACCAATCCTTCTGCGACTTCATCAAACATAAACCCAACAGGCAAAACAGCACTGCACAAAACAACTTTGCCAATTCAAAAAGTAATTACAAAACCTATCTGTGATTCAGAAAAATACTTTTCTACTCTTTAATAAATGTGTGAAAACTATTGAGCAAAAAAAAATTATCTCAAGAAGCATTCCCTCTGAGGCATGTTATTTTCATTTTTTTTATATTTCGTTCAACTAATCCAGTATGCTTGACTGCTAATAAAGCGCCTCTTACCTACCTGACTTCATTTGACTTGCTAATTAAACTTTGCTGTTATCAGGGGTTTAATTAAAAAAACACTCCATCATGAAAAAAAGTAGAATGCTGTGTGTTGTTGGATATGGAAATAGAATGTGTGTGTGTATGTGTGTGTTTAATACACTTGATTCGTCCTGCTGCAGTGCAGTCAAGTGTTGCGTATGTGCATGAACAGCAGACTCGTCCAACACTGCACTACTCTCCGATTACGTTAGCGTGATGGTGGAATGGGCAGGGCTCCAGCCTGAGACTGACTCGTCTTGTCCATCATGTCCTGTTCATCTCATGTTGCATGTTTTTCTTCACTACAGTCTGTTCCCAGCAGGGCAGGAACCAATTTGTTTTAAGTGAGGTTCAAGGTTACTGTTATTTGCATCACATGTGGTGCATGAGGTGGAACGAAATTATGTACTCAAGGTCCCAGTTACACCCCAAAATAGCAAAAATATAAAGTATAAAAAAAGAAACAGTATACAAGGATCTACTGTAAGATATACGCTAAACTATAATAATGTAATATAATATGGTGTATTAAACAGCAGCCAGAACATGAGTCTGTTGTGAACAGATGAGTATGCATACAGCAGCTTAAAGGCAAGAAATCAGCAGCATGGATAATCAAGAATACAGTAGTCCCTCTCTACTTTGCGATTTGGTTTTTGCGGACTCGCTCTATCGCGATTTTTCAAAGATTGGACATGACACACAATTGGCTGATTGATGGATGAGCCGCACGATCAGCATGGAATTTTTATTTAAAATAAATTATTTAAAATTATTTAGCAACTGTGTGCAGCCCACAGCTGTGGGAGAAGCTTCCTACTGCAGCTGATCATGCAGTGGAGAAGTGGGCGTGGCCGAGAATGCTGGCAGAGCGCAGTGGAGGCAGAGAGCTGCAATCATGACATTCTGTGCTCTTTTAGAGCGTCACGAGGTCTCCCTCCTATTTTTTTTTACACGCTGCTCGCTCCCTCACTATTCATCCTTCGGTTCAAACAGTCTTATACTGCCATCCGGTGGTTGTAAAAAGGTACTACATACAAAACAAATTAAACATTTCTTCTTAAATTTGACAGTAATTCTTAATTATTGTCAAATTTCAAACAATATTATCATTTATCGCAATAATGTCTGAGACAATCAAACAATATTATCATTTATCGCAATAACGTCTGAGACAACTAATCACCCAGAAAAAATTGTTATCGTGACAGGCCTTCGAGGGACTACTGTATTCTTTCAGGGACTGACCGGACTGAGAATTATTGGATTTGGTACCTGGATGATTGAGCATGAACTTTGTTACTGTATAGTTTCTAACTTGAGAAATGTGTTTCTAAAGTGATTGGTCTCGCTAACCACGATGAAGAGTCGTCGTGATATTCTTCTCTGAGCGTGAAGCAGATAGAGATTAATGATTAACTTCATATGATCTCTATCATGTTTTTGGTAAGTGAGGTGACCGGAGCAGAGTGCTGATAGAAAGAAAATTGGAACTTCTTCTTCTGCTGTGTCTCTCGTCTTTCATGTCTAATTTTATTGACACTTTAATGGATTTACAGCAACAAAAGTAGAGCATACAGCACGTTATACACCCATTGACAAACTAACATACAGCAATGGCCCAGACAAGCAAGGAACCCATATGATGATATGATCTTGATTTGTGACCTTGACCTTGAAGTTAGGGTGATGAAAAGTGCACACCACACTTCATCTAGTGATGATGCAATTATCTCGAGCAGATCAGATTTTATGACCCAGACAAGAGAAAGTTTATGGACGGATGGAAACTATACCATAAAATGTCAAACCTTCAGTGGGGTGGGGAGACAATATTGGACAAATAAATAGTCTAAACAGTTGGGACAACTTTAGTCAGAGACACACACTTGTAAAACAACACATAAACCTAAGGAGAAAGTTCTGGACATTAAAATGTTCTACAAAGTTAAAGGATGTATGAAATACTACTTCCTTTACGACACTGGTCCAAGAATAAAACCACCACCTCTTAAATCTAAAACAGAAACTTTATTCAACTTTGATTTATTCTCGGATTACTAACGCAGAGCAAACAGAACATCAGTTCAGAAGTGGATGGAGCATTTTATCATACAGTAGTGAGGAAGAATTTTCAAAGTCCTGGATTAACAGGGACAAAAATTTGAAGATTAATGTAAACAAATGTAACATTTTAACATTGATAAATCTTTGTGTTCTTTTTTTGTAATCAGGTAATTCTAGTTATTTACATGACATAAAAACCAAAAAGAAGAATGCACAGCAACAATTACATTATTTTGGGAACATTTTTTTGTTATTTGCCAAATCAAACACTGTTGGTCCTCGATGAATGTTATTCTGTAAACAAAATAGAAATAAGAATTAAAATGAACTTGAGCCTTGTGATACTTTAAATTTAAAAGAACATCTACCCAAATTGTAAAATACTAATGCAGTAAGTTTATTTTGCAACCTTGATGAAGTTGCTGCTAACCAAGCACACATAATTTAAATCCTTCCTGTGTGCACTCTTTCTGACCTCTCTGACAGAAGGTCATGTAGAACAAATTGAAGCTGCCGTCATCACTCGAGTCTTAAAGGTTTAAAGAGGAGCACCAGGTCAAAACCAGTTATTAAGACTCCCATTATGTTTATGGTCTGATAAACCCCCTCATTTTACTCCCACAAACAACACTGTAGCTGTTTTGAAAATGCACAAAGTGGTGTCTAAGGAATGAATGTTGGCTGATTTTAATTATTTTTGAAAAGTATAAAGTTGCTTTTAAAAAGGTTAAAATAGTCAAACAATTCTCTACCACTTTAACTGGTAGGTGTGTATGCTGTTCCATATGTTTTACCTGGTAATGGTTATAAAATAATGGTTAAACATACATTTTGTTGTCTAAGATATATAAATTGTAATAAATTGTTAAACGTAGCCTGTGAATATTTCCTGACCTGCTTTTACTGGGTTTGGCAAGCAATAGAACCCGTTACCTTCAATTGTTCAGTTTCTCCCCAGTTTCATCTCACCGTGCCTGCAGGTTACGTTTGTCTTTCAACTGTATTCTCTCGCCTCACCCCCACTCGTGTTCTCCAATCCCCGCATCATAAGGCCAGGACTGCTAATGTGGCACCCTGAGGCGACCACTGTAAGTCACAGCAAAGTCATAACTCTGAGCCAGCTCAGTGTAGAGCCCATTACAAAAAGCCAAAGGCTTTTTAAATCAGTGAGTCACCCAACATTTACCTTATGATGGTTTAGAAGTCACATTCAGGTATCATAACAATGTACTGGATAAGATTAAATATTTGAAGTTTATCTTCTATATGTGACTATGTAAAGAGAACATTTTAATGAAAGTGCTACAGTGCTGACCTTTTATGATGAAATTACCGCATCATAAATGCACTGAAAGAAAATAACTTTATAAAACAGACAATAGATAACCTGGATACAAATAAAAACATATTTATACGTTACTCGTCTCCTACAGTTTATTCTGTCCAAACTGCTTCAAATCTCACATCAGTCATTCAATCAACCAAGTTTTGATCAAATAAACCTGCTCCACGTGTCTGTCAATGCCAGCTCAGAAACAATTCTTTACTTCTGCAGAGATGATCTAAATTGGTCACTTTTACACTTTCTGTACACAGTCAGATCTCAAAACCTGCACAAAACTTTCCAAGTAGCAGGAAAATTTGCGCAAAATTGATTAAATCAAATTTAACAATGACATTTGACTAAAAGCTTAACACGAATATCAGATACGGCACATTCATGCTCATCAACACATTCTTATACAGGAATCTATAGCAATGGCCTGGACAAGCGAAGACCTTGTATAACTTTTAACCTTGATTTGTGACCTTGACCTTAGAGCTGTGGTGATGAAAAGTGTGTGCAACATTCTGTATTATGATGATGCACACATTTTGTTGAATTCTCTCGAGCGTAACAGAAGTTATGGGCGGGACAAGAGAAACTTTACGGACAGACTATACCAGAATGCACCTTTTAGTGGCTGCAAGACTTGTGCAAGAAAAAAAATAGCACTAGTGCACAAATGGTAAATGGACTGTACTTATACTTTGTCTCTATCTAATCAAGATACACAAAGTGCTTTACAACACAACCTGTGCATTCATTTACCTCCACACACACATTTATACAGCACTCTACTAGACCTCTACAAAGATACCGTAATCTAAATCTGTACCAAGACTAATCAGTGCTTTAGATCACATTCATACACTGATGAGACACACACTGGAGGCAATGAGGGGTTCAGTGTCTTTCCCAGGGACACTTCAAGATGTGACTGCTGGTGGAATCGAACCTTCAACTCTCCCATTGGAGGACGACTGCCCTAACCACTCAGCCACAGCTGCCCCACACAAAGAAAACAAGAAACCCCACTGTTACCTTATCTGACTACCATTTTCTTTTGAATCTTTCCACCATGACTCTACCTTTGCATAACTTCCAATTGTTCACAGAACAAGGTACAAAATATGGTGTTTACTGTATTTTAAAGAACAATAAGACATAAAACACAAAATATAAAAACAAAGATACAAACAATTAACCAAAGATTAAAAAAAAACTAAAACTAAAGTTACTGATTTAGATTTAAATATAATGTTATAAACAATACTAGACTCCACCTTAAACTCTAAATCACATTCAATTTAATTCAGTTTATTTACAGTATGGAGCACAATTTCACAACATTAGGCATCCGCATAAAAAAAAGTAATTTAATTTAAATCCAATCACCTGCAAGTCAGTTAAGCTTTATAATTTCAGTACAGTTCACTTCAATTCTAATAAAACTCTACCCAAAATAATCTGATTCAGATTCAAATCCAGTGAGTTTATTTTAAGCCAATACATTGCTTGATAATCAACAGAGCAGAATCCAGGAGATTTACTGCACATCAGTAAAAATTTAAATGCATGTAATTCACCTGGAAAGATCTCTTTTAATGTGCAAAAAATAAAACTAGCAGTTACGCAGCTAAAGGCAAAGGAAGTACATCACGATCAGCAACAACTTCTTCTGGAAGTAAAACCAGCTGCAGTCAGGGGTTTCAAAAGCCCCTTATCCACAGGTCTGGTTCTTGTTGTAGCCTGTTGTGTCCGGTTCTAGTGGGACCTCTATTTTTGTGTCTCACCTTTGCCTATAGTTCCCGTTTAGTGGGCGGATTGTTCACCTCTAGTGGGCGGATTGTTCACCTCTAGTGGGCGGATTATTAATATCAATGCACCTTACCAGCTGGTGGCGGTAGTGCTACATTAAGCTCTTTTCTAAGCACCACTAACATGCATTAGAAGAAGAGCTGGAAAACAACACACAACCAAAATGGATGACCTACATGAACTTGAAGCAGAACCAGCCGCACAGCCCATCCTGGTCGCTGTCCCGCAAGATGGAGAGCAGGGCCGAGGTGTCAGAGATGCTCTGATGGATCATGAGCTGTAACTTATCCTAATTCCCCCCCTTAATCTTTTTTTACCTCCCCAGCCTTCCTTAGATACAAGTGAACGTTAAAGTGTTGATTTGAAAATAAACATGGATTAATAATTATTCTTGTTTTTTTAATGTAGACATGCCTTATTACCAGGTTCGTGTAAAAATGGCAAAACAAACACTGCTGCTGTGCTTCTATCACATATGCTGCGTTTTTTAGTAGCTGTAGTTTTAGAAAAACTGTAATCTCTTTAATTTTTGTTTTTAACAAAGAACCAAAACCTACAACAAGAACTTTATATTTGTTT